TCTTAGCTAAAGAGCTAAACAGAAAGACCATGTGTGGGCAAAAGAGCAGTGCAAGTGGGAAGAATGACGTCCAACTTCCTGTTGGCTTCCCCATTGACTTTGCTTGTGGGAAGGTGGCAGAAAGCACCAGAAATCATGCCTTTGTGACTGCTGGGATGCTACAATGGCCATTATTTTGCAAATAAAACTAGCATGGACATTGTGGATATTTCAGTTCCACAGGAGTAATGGGTCCCAGATTTTTAATGCATTCTTTAAGCTAGTAGATTTTTGGTACCTTGATTCAAAAGTATAATCAATCCCAAAGGTGCATTTTCAAATGGGTTCTGAACTTTGTTTTTCCTTGAAGACCTCTCACTTCTCATATAAGTTGTTTCTTGGATGAGAAGCAAAATGTCTTTGGGACAACCATGACCTGGATGACTGAGAGTCTCCATAGACAGTTGTAGTATAACGCACAATGAAAACTTTAATAGTATATAGATGAACCAACACCTCCCACATTTATTTAATTTTTATTTAATAATACTGAATATTCTTAGTTCCATTTTTCTCCCTCTTTCAACTTCTTTTCCTCCTATTTCCTGCTTCCAGTTTTATTTCTCTTTATTTTTCCACCATACTCTGTTCAACCTAGACATCTACCTTCCTGTTTCTGATTAAATTCTAATAAAGTAGGAATCTAACTGCATTGCCATAAATGGCAGTTTTACTATGCTTATCTTATACAGTACATATAGTAGTAATTTTTAAAACTGTTCAATGCTGTTAGAATTCTACCTTGTTTCTATTATAGCTATCACCATTTTCAGCTTGGTTGCAGTGTTTTTTTCTCCATATAAACTCTTCTGATGTAACGTTTTTTTACATTGCTAACATCTGTAAATCACACTGAGGACTGCAGTTTTGGGGTGGTTGGAATTTCAGAAAATAAATGGTAGAACGATAGGAGTAACTACAACCTAACCTCACTGCTTACAATTCCCCCCACCGGTATCTAAGAAATGTGTATATACTTGCAAATAAAGAACATTTAAGTCCTAATCCTCGAAAGCATTTGTCATTACATATTTGTTAGTCTTTGATTTTCCTGCCATAGAGAAACCTATCCTCAGAGAACAGCTGACTTAAGCATTACCAATGAAATTCACAATTTAAATCTCTTATTAACATTGGCATGAAAAACAGTTAGGTAAAAAAAACTAACAAAACTTCAAACTGAAATCTGTAGCACATCAGTGGAACAGTAAAAAAAATGCTATTCTTTTTTATTTGTATTTATTTATTTATTTGATTTGTCAATCACTTACAAGGTAATAGGTATAAGCATAAACATAGTTATGAATGCATGAAATGGATACATATAAGAAAAATAAAAAGAAACAGGGATGGTAGGCACGTTGGTGCGCTTATGCACAGACCTCTTAGGAAAGGGGTGAGGTCAAGAGTAGTCAGTCTAAGGTTAAAGTTTTTGGGGTTTGGGGAAGAAACTTTTGCCAAGCAGCGGGGAGGGGGGATCATTCAAACTTCCCCTAGGTTGTTTTACATGTATGTCTCCTATAAACTGGGCCAAAGTAACTTGAAAGAATAACTCTTAAAAACTGTGCACCAATAACACAAGAGATGCCTCTGCTGATACCTGTGAGTTGGATTATTCTGACAGAATTCAATCATGGTATTTTTTTGTGTATAACTATAGCTTTGTGTATTACTATTACTGTCAGTTGTATCAACAGATGACTTTTACAAAATAAATCTAGTTAGATTGTCACCGGTTTAAGAATACAAAGAAGTTTAGACTGGCAACTGTATTTCACGTGGATCACAAAAGACAGCATAACAATGTGACTTCCATGACCAATGTCACTCATGTGCTATTTTCTGCTCTGAACCTGTAAACATTTCAAATCGTGCTTGCGTTTGCCTAGCTGAATAGAAGAAAAATGGCCCTTTCAAGAGGCCAATTCAGCGTGTTAAGGTATGAAATACTTTTTCATGAAGGACACAATTTCCATTTCCACTACTACTCTGGGTAGAGACAGAGGGAGCCTTTTTTAAAAAAATCATGGCTTTCCTATTTTTATTTATTTATACCAGAGGTCTCCAAAATTGGCAACTTTAAGACTTCTGGGACTTCAACTCCCAGAATTCTCCAGCCAGCTATGCTGGAGTTGCCAAGTTTGGGGACCCCTGATTTACATTAATAAAAACAGTAGTTAATCTTAATTATTGAAATATCTTATCTTCATAACCCATGGCTTAAACATGATACTTTCAAAGAAAACTGAGTTAGGAATTTTTAATTTCTTGGTTTGGAGAATGGCCAGTTGTGGTCAATCAAAACAGAAGTGAACACTTCAGAAGAGAGGGAAAAGTGCACAAACTGAAGCTTATTTTGATAAATCAGTTTTGTAATGCACAAACCACTTTGGTGATTCTTTATAAACCAGCATAGGTTGAGTGCACAGTTACGCTAACCCAAAACTTGTGAAAGCACAACTTACTTATTTGTGATTACAATACCTGTGCTTTACTGAAGTAACTAGATTTCTGGGTGAGGTTCATCCTGTATGTTAAACAAAACTGTGGCTTTGGGAGCTATATAAGCCTAGCTTACAAACCAACATTTATGGCTTAGTATAAGGTATAGTATAACTAGATGTAGTTTACTCAGCAAACACAGGCAATGCAAATTATGATTTAATGAGATATAGTGTGAATTAGTGTACAACTAAGGCTGTTGAGATTAAAAAAGGAAGATTCTCCCTTGAGTTGGGTTTTTCTCCTATTGACTACATGAACATGTTTGCCTGACAAAAACATCAATTTTGTTGCTTGCTTGTGGATTTGTTGACCTTGCCTCAGTGTATCCTGTAGCCCTGGGATTTCCTAGGGGTGCTAGCAGTGCCTTCCCCAAATTTCTCTCCTTAGCTTTTCCAAGGTGAATCAAGGTGGGTTAAGGGTACCCTCAAACTTAGCAAAGCTCCGTGTAGAATTTAAGAGTACCTCTGTCGAGGTACAATTTAAGACTGTGTGGCTAAGAGTGAGTATCCTGAGGGAATACATATAATGCATTTATGAAAGGAAAATCCATTTCATATGCCCCCATTAAATATTATACAATGTATAATTTTAACGCAGAGGGATGGGAATCTTGTCAATGATTTTACAATTCAATATTCATATTCGGAATACAGCAAAGAAAGAAAAAAGATTTCTTAGAAGAAAAGCTTCTTAATTCTAGCAGGTTAGTAGTTCTGTCAATGCTTCTGTGCTCAGTCTTGAAGGCTGCTCTTTTGAGAGGCCCTTCACAGGTGTATTAGCAACAGACAAAACCTGTATCACTCTTAATCTGCTTTGGCAGAAACAAGAAGGTCCACCCAAGACATGTTTCCTAACCTGAACCTTTCCTAGCCTTAGGGGGAAAAAGTGTTGTGAAACTGACACTGAACTTTGTTCCTGCTGACAAAGAGAATAAATTGGGGGGGGGAGGGGGGGCAAAAAAAGAAAAGAAAAGAAAAAGAAGAAATCTGAAGTAGAGGGCGGGGGGAGAAGAAAGCAAAGCCTCAGCTTGCTGAGTCAACAGTAAACCAAGGGAAGTGTAAAAGTTTTCTTTACAGCAAACCAAACATCAGACTTTCTGCTGTATTTTTCTGGTGAGCCAAAAAAAATTACGGGAGGAAGGAACCGTTCGGAAAAGTTCTTAACCCAAATAAGAATTTGTCTTCAGGGGTTCTTCTTTGGCAACTGGGTTCAGTCAGAAAAACTTGATAGAACATAATAAAAGATAAATAAATAGGCATGGACCAGCCCCACAAGGTTCCCCTTTCTCTCCTAAGCTTAATAACGCCAAAAATGTATTGCAAAGGGCAAAATGACAGCCAGCTCTTTATTAAATAAATAAAGTATAAAAAGGGAAAAAGACTTTGGAGCGACTCCTCTTGTCCTTCGATTCGATTTGTGTCTATAAATCTGTAATTCCCAGGAAGCATAACCGATGGCAAGCAAAGTGTGGGGAATTTTTGTCCAAGAGGCTCTGGGTGTGTGGGTGTGTGTGTGGAAGCCGACAAAAACACACAAGAAGGCTGGAACAAGCCAGCAATTCTGATCTGCCTTTAGGCTATGCCTTGGGTTTACTTTTGAGGAAGCGCCCCTGAGATTATCCAAAAGCAATTCTGTCCAAGACGCATCTTAAGGCCCAAAGGTGCTTCCCGCCCCCCCACAAGAGGCAACTGGACTTTCTGGTTTTCCTTTAAAGGCTTTTCACTTCTCCTCCAAGCTTCTTCAGATCCAAGAGCTGAAGAAGCTTCTTGGATGCGAAGCAAAACGTCTTCAAAGAAAAACCAGCAAAGTCCAGTTGCCTCTTAGGAAGAGGGGGGGAGGGAAAAGCCCCTTTGGAATCAACCATGACCTGGAGGATTGAGAATCTCCACAGACGCGCATGTCTTGACGTGCAGACGGCTAGAGTCTCCTGCTTGGGGGAGGGGTTGGACAAGATCAGGGGTCTCCAACCTGGCCACTTTAAGCCTGGTGGACTTCAACTCCCAGAATTCCCCAGCCAGCAAAGCTGGCTGAGGAATTCTGGGAGTTGAAGTCCACCAGGCTTAAAGTGGCCATGGTTGGAGACCCCCTGGACTAGATGACCTACAAGTTCGGTTAAGCCCCCGTTCGAACGTCAGAGCTGTCCTCTTTCCCACAACCCCGAGGCGAAACCCCGAAGGTGGCCCTCCGGATCTCCCCGGGCCTCCAGCGAAGCTTCGCCGCGAGGATAAAAGGCTCGGCCGGGCGCCCCTTTCTCCTCCTTCCCTCTCCGTTCTGCGCCTCTCGCTAAAGCCCGCGGGATTACTCGCGAGCAAGGCGGCAAGAAGAAAGGGAAGGAAGGCCGTCCCGAAGCTTCGGCGGGCTAAACCACCGGGAGGGAGCCCCCCCCTCCCCAAAAGGGCAGCGCTCCCCTTGGCGCAGGCGCGTCCTCGCCTAAGCCAGAAGCCGCGGAGACTTACCCGGCTGCAGAAGAAGCGGCGGCGGCGACAGCAGCGGCTGTTCTGCGCGGCGCCGGGACAGCTCGGGCAAAGAAACGACCCCCTGTGCTCGCCACTGCTTGCTCCGCCCCCTCAGAGGCTCCTCCCACCCGGGTCAAGCGGGCGGGCGAAGAAAAACAGTTGCTCCGCCTCCCTTTCGGATGGTGTGTGGGGGGGGAAACCCCTTGTTCGTGTGTCTCTCCCCCCCCCCCCCCCCAGTCTCGACAAAGGGAACGCCCGCTTGGCTGCGTCTCCTCCCGCGTCCCGAGCCGAGCTATGCGGCTTGCACGTCTGGATCGGCGAAACCGGCTTGCTTACGGCCCCCTCGCTCCTCCTTTCTCCCTTAGGAGCTTAGCCTTGGCCAAAAAGTTATCCTCCCCCGTTAGAATCGCGACGTGGTTACCAAGAAGAGTTCTCCACTCCTCTACCAATTGCAGAATGCCTTATGCCACCTGACTCGAAATTCTAGACCTAGACAACCTTAGAACTGCGCCGCCTTCGGTCTGATTGAAATACAGTGTATAAAATCATACATTGCAATGTCCTACCTGTCAATGAATACTTCATCTTCAACCATAAGAACACAAGAGCAAGCAATAGATACAAACTCAAGGTAAACAGCACCAAACTTGATTGCAGGAAATACGACTTCAGCAACAGAGTGGTCAATGTCTGGAATACTCTACCTGACTCTGGTTTCTTCCCCAAACCCCAAAAACTTTAACCTTAGACTGTCTTCTATTGACCTCACCCCTTTCCTAAGAGGTCTGTAGAGAGCGTGCATAAGCTCACTAAGGTGCCTACCATCCCTGCCCTATTGTTTCTTTTATATATATATTTATTTTTCTTATATGTACCCATGTATTCATAATTATGTTTTTACTTATACCTATTATCTTGTAAGCAATTGACAAAATGAATGAATAAATAAAAATAAATAAATAAAAGCTAAATTGGGGTGGGTGGCTGAGGGAGGGAAGGGCATATCTGAGAACTAAATCCAGCAACAACCTCCGTGTTTGATCTATTATTTTTATCTGTTGTTGATTATTTTTATTATTCTAAGATTTTTAACTGGATAGTCCTCGAGTTGCTTTTTATTTGTTTCTAATCTCTGATCTTTGTCTGTAATACAAGGGTCTTCAAACTTGGACAACTTTAAGACTTCTGGACTTCGACT